GCAGCGCCGTGCGGGGCTTGCCTTGGAGCGGGAGAACAGCGCGGGCTTTGCACCTACGAACGAGACGGAGGCATTTCTTTTTTTGTTGCGGCTGAGCAGCGAATTAAAGGCAGAATGAAAAAGAGCAGCAGTCGCTTTCACCTACTCCGTGCCTGGAGATGTTTGTGTGAACGTGGCTTTCCATATACAGCACATTGCGCTGGTGAAAGTTTGAGGCTCCCCGTGCGATAAAGAATGAAGGAAATCAAAGGAGTGGAGCAGTTTCCGCTCTTCTCGCTCCGTTTGCAAGCGGTTTGAAACTACACACACGCATGATTCGAGCCTATTACTAACTGCAACAATTAAAAATGCCCTGCTTGCATACTTCTGCAGCTCTTGCATGGAGTCAAGTACACCTTTCAGGTCGTCGCTTCCATGTAGCTGTAGTAACAGTCCTGGTCTTTTCTGCTGCATGTGTTTCTTTTTGACATTTTCCGGTCTTCTCCAGTCTTGCTTCCCTTGCCTGTATAGAGAAATAACTGTGTCTTTTTTTAGAAAAAAAAAAAAAGTTACTAAAATATTCTTCGCATTTAAGCTAGATTGTAACTTTCTTTTAGGCATTATCTCCTAGTACTTAGTCAAGTTGTGAGAATGTCTCCATCTTTTTATTAGAAAAAAAAAGTATAATTTGCATCCATTTGCACTTGTTAGAGGTCAGTAGGACTTGATACTCAGTCTTATAATTTTAGTCCTTCTGTGCAAGGTTGTTTTGATCTGTTGCAAGTAATTTATATAAAGAAAAATATTTTAACGTTGACATTAGCTACATCAAAAGGCAAATTTGCTGTAGTGACTCCATCAATTAAAAAGTACTTGCCTACAGTAACATGACCTTGCAAATGACATCGATAGTTAATGTGATCGTTAGTCATTAACAGTATTATTGTATTCAAAAATGTAAATTTGTTGCCAGAATCCACATATTTACAGCTTTGCACGTTTTATTCTTTGGTGTTTTCACATCTTGTATAAAGTGGTCAATTAATTTTCATCCTTTAATCTTGTACAGAATTATTTTTAGTTTGCTTAGTTTGGTCAGATGGACCTGAGGAAAATCGAAGCTGGCTTTTGCTTTTGTTTTTTTTTTTTTTCCACTCAACAAATTTATCTTGAGTTCTATAGTAACAGAATGTGAACTACGAAAGTCTGATGGAAGTAGTCTCTGGAGTGTACTCGTTATTCGGGTATCCCAATAATCAGAAAAAAGTCTCATGCCTATCCCACGGGTTTAAACTGAAGTTTTCTCATACAACAAAGACGAGGTAAGGAATAAATCTCGTTAATACATTTTTGTTTTCTTCTAGATTTGTCGGCATTAATGCATCTGACATAAACTACTCGGCCGGTCGATATGATGCATCAGTTAAACCCCCATTCGATATAGGTTTTGAAGGTGTCGGTGACGTGGTAGCATTAGGCCTCAGTGCTAGTGCTGACTATACTGTGGGTCAAGCTGTGGCCTACATGAAAGCAGGTTCCTTTGCTGAATACACAGTTGTGCCCGCCAAACAGGCAGTTCCTCTACCCTCTGTGAAACCCGAGTTTCTTACTTTAATGGTAAGTGGCGCTACCGCATACATCAGTTTGAAAGAGCTGGGAGAGCTGTCTGAAGGCAAGAAGGTTCTGGTGACGGCAGCAGCTGGAGGAACGGGCCAGTTTGCTGTGCAGCTTGCGAAGAAGGCAAAATGCCATGTAATTGGAACCTGCTCCAGTGATGAAAAGGGTGGTTTTCTGAAATCCATTGGCTGCGACCGTACGATCAACTATAAAACTGAAAACGTCGGATCTGTTCTTAGGAAGGACTACCCCGAAGGTGTGGACGTAGTGTATGAATCTGTTGGGGGAAAGATGTTTGACTTGGCTCTGAACTCCTTGGCTACCAAAGGGCGCCTGATAGTTATTGGGTTTATCGCTGGCTACCAAAACCCTACTGGCCTCCAGCCCGTTAAAGCAGAGTTATTGCCAGCAAAACTGTTGAAGAAGTCTGCCAGCATCCGGGGTTTCTTCTTGAACCATTACCTTTCTGAGTGCAAAATGGCTCTGAAGCACTTGATCAAGATGTATGAAGGAGGAGACCTCATTTGCGAGGTGGACTGTGGAGACATGTCTCCGGAGGGCAAGTTCACGGGCTTGGAGTCTGTATTCCGTGCTGTAGATTACATGTACATGGGAAAAAACATTGGAAAAATTGTGGTTGAATTACCTCACTCTGTCAACAGTAAGCTGTAAAAACAGAACAATGATATAAATCAGAAGAGAGAAAATGGGCACTCTATGCCTCGGAATTACTAGTAACAATTTCTTTTTTTAAGCTTAGTAATGGATATTATATTAAAAATCAGCATTAAGGTGTTAATAAAAAGTTTTGTGGGTTTTTTTTTTCTTTTCTTAAAGGTGCTTAAATCGGTGGCTGTAGCACGGACTTTATGGGCCTGTGTTTGGTTCTGTTGCTTAGGCTAGCATGACGCAAGAACAATGTTCTTGACAGAATGAGTCTCGATGCAGAGGCAGATTTAGTCTGTCAGACTGGTTTGATAATACTTTATATATAGTTCAGCTCAGGAAAAGAAAATTCTTTCAGCAGTTTTGATTCCCTGATTTCAAAAATAAAATTGTTAGAACAAGACTAATTAAAGAATCATATCTTTTGGTTGCTCTATTAAACTCTTGAAGTTTCTGGAAAAAATTATGAGCTTCATTTTTTGTCACAAACACGGTAATCATAATTCAGCTGCATCACGGATCATAGTAATATTCCTTGACTGGTTACACAGGGAATGTTTATCCTCTAATTCCAACATGTCAGTAATATTAAGAAAAGCAACTTGACTTTTTTTTAATTATGTCTTTCGTAACTATAACAACTATGCAATTTTCTTTTATGCCTTTAACTACAAGTTGCAACATAATCTCATGTTCTTGCCTTTTGATTTGCTACTGTTACTGTTTACTGTCCGGTCTCCACTTTAGTCGGTATTACAAGATTATTGCGGTGGGGTTTTGAGCCATGTTCACGTGTGTTCAGGTCCTGTATATTTTTTTAAGATTTAATAAAGTTAAAAAAGCAATTTAAATATTTGTGGCATTTATTCCTATTGATGCGGTTATTGCTGACTAGCTCCTGTATAGATAATCTCTGTGTTGTAGAGTTATTTCGCCGATGACTCTTGTTGTGGCTTCCCATAATCAGGCTGCTGCTTCTACTTTGACCGAATATTACTTCTGCAGAAGCCCTGTTACAAACAGCAAGACCATTTAAAATCTGTGGTCACAGTACCTTCTACACGTACTGTTGCTCAGCCATAGATTATCCAGTGGCTGCAGTTAGAGGGTTTTGTAAAGTTTTGAAAATTCTTCCTCACTTAATAGATATTATTAACAGTACCTACAGTGGGAATTCCATCTAGAAGTGTCATATTTTCCAGAACAGTAAAATACTTTAAACTATGCTTGCTTTACATCTTTTTTCCATAGCAAACATTTAAGATCTTAAAGGCTGATTTTGCCACATCTTTTGAAATTGTATGCATTTGTATTCAGCTGGGGAGATGGAAATTTCCTCATGTCGTACACCTAATCATAAACATAATGGTAGACTGCTAATGTCAAAGGGTTGAAGGAAAAAATCCAGGGTAAACTTAATTTTGGAGCATTATTCGGGACTGTACACGACATTTTGAAAAGTAACGTGTATTAAAAACTTTATGTTTTAGTCAGTAGTACAGGCAGTGAAACTATTTTTAACTTTGATTTAATGCATTTTTAATGTAATTTTATAGTGCATATGTCATTAGCATGCTAGAGACTTTTGTGCAACAAAGAACTGTCCCTTTTTTGGGCCATGTCTGACTACTGGGTTTAGTCTTCCACTTTGGAGGATTTGGGGGAAAGGCAGAAAGGCTTAAGTCTTTGGTACCATTTCTCTTTTACTCAAGCTAAGCATCAAATCACTGTGATTTTTCTTTTCGCGAAGATCTGCTGTTAGAAACATACTTCCTCTTTCCCCTTGAATATTATAAATATTGTGGTGTTTTGTAGAATGAGAAAGGTATATTTGCCTTCCCACTGGATGCCAGAAAGATGGAAACGCTCAAGAGCCATACAAGATCAGAGCGTACAAAGTTCTTGCTGTTTTATTCCTAAGCAGATGGTTTCTTTCCTTGTTCAGAGAAAAGGCAGCGCCCTTGGTCAATAAATGCATCTTAAAAAAAAAGGCTGTTTAGGATGTACTAGGGCAAAATAAAATAAAAATAAAAAGAATATAATTGGTTACATCAGTGATACGCACAGAAGAGTTGCATGGGTAGCAACTTTTCAAATCAAGTTCCTGCAGTCAAATGCCAAAACCCGTCCAAGTGGCCTGATTTTCAGAGGTGTTGGTCACTGCCAGTCCTGTAGTTTTAGGTGTTTCCAAGGCAGTGAATACCAAATGTTTTTGTAGTAAAAAATTCTTGTAGCAGGATTCTGTTTGGACATACAGCATTCTACTTCCTTTTTAATATGTTACTTCATATATAACAAAGAGTAATGCAACTGCCCCGGGCTCTTTCACTGACCAAAATAAGGGAGAGTGGAACCTTTGGAAGGTTCATATATATATACATATATATATATATAAAGATATGACCTTTTGTTGGTTTTAATTACGGCTTCAGGCTTATTATTCAGCACTTTAATACTGATTACAGTGTTAATAAAATGTTTAGATTTGTTGTATGCAGAACTTGTATGGCCAGTGTACGAATTTCGTAGCCCTTTTGGTGTTTGGTTTGGGCTATGGCCATTGGACTTGTGCTTTTCATCAAATGCCAATGTTAAGTGAAAGGGGTAACTTGGGGTAGACATGATTACTCCTCCATGAATGAATCCAGAACGAAGAAGTAATTTTTGTTTTTAAAGATGCAACTTCTGTTGTTTAGATTGCTGAAAGGGGGCATTATTGACGTGGAGTGGGTGAAAAGAGTTTCTGAAACATGCAGATAAGGTGTCTCTGCGTAGACTCACAATAATTTTTGGTTTACGAGGAGAAAAAAAGCAAACTTCTATTTATTTGAAAGCATATTCTGCCAACTTCTCTTTATTTAAAAATATATTCTGCAAACTTACAGTTATGGAGCAGGGCTGACTTTGAATAAGTAAGCTATGATGGATTTAAATAATGTTTAAATATTAGATGGATAGGAAAATGTATATGGCATGCACACACTGAGAGGTTTAAATGATGATAGGACATTGAACATACAAGGAAAAGAAATACTGTAGAGTCACAGCAAGGGATTAATAACAATACACTTAATATGCTTGCAAAAAAGGTGTATTAAAAGCTGTGTGCACAGTGGGGACTTAAATGATTAAAAATAATAATACATTTGCCTGGGAAGGACTAAGTATACTATATGTACAGAGCAGGGATTTAAATAATAATACTATTAATAATAGCAGCTCATTGAGATGTGGTTGCTAGCACTACATCCTAATTTTACCTTTCTAAATGAATTTGCTACAGAGGAATCTGGCATTGTTTGCTGAGGCTAATAACAGAATTTCCCTTTCCTACACACATATGCTTCCATGGAAAAAACAACGAAGAAGTAGAAGAGCTGGCTTTTTTCCTGAGTCTGTCACATGTGTGCATGCGCACACGGGCACACACACGTACTCGCTCTCTCCTGGCCTGCAACCCTCAGCACATTTTGCAGATATGCTTCCTACTTAATTGCTGTGCTGGAATCTCCTAATACCTTTCTGAATTAAGTTAGATTTCTACCAGGCAATAGTTCGCTATGTATTTGTGCATGTGCATGTGTGTGTGTGTGTGTGTGTGTGTGTATATATATATATATATATATATATATAAAAATGTGTATATTTAGTAAGTGGATATGAGTAACTGCTGTGTCATGTAAATACATATAATTGCAGTCTCTCAAGGAAAAGTTTGCAGTAGTGTTTGCAGACATTATATATATTCCTGCTTCTGTCTGAGGAGTAAAGAAATTTCTCTGCTGAATAACTGTTAGTATCTATTTTACAAGATTTACTCATTTTCAGGTACCTAATGTAGCTGCTAGCATGCATGCACAACAATACAATTTATATGGTAAATGGAACCAAATAATGGCTTCACTGAACGTTATGGCTGCACTGAAGGGAAATGTCACGGTAAATAGCTGCCAAATTATGGATCATGCCGAAGTGTCACAACTGCACTAAAGACAAATAGCACTAGAGGCTATTGCCACTGTGACGCTTTTGAGTTATGAAGAAGAGGAGCAGCCTGATGTGAGCCTCTTTGTGTCCTCATTATAGCAAAGGGTTACTGGTGCAGTGTACAAGAAAACCTAGTCCTGTGTGGTGGCTAGTTATTAATCTGTTCTTTTCAAATCTAACAGCTGTAGCAAACCAGAATATCTTTTCCTTGCTTTATGAATACGTGTACACACACACAAACAAAGGAAAACCTGCAGGTTTTATGAATGTAAATGTGTACGGGAAATGACTGGTAATGGAAAAATGTTGTAATAAAATAATCTAATCAAAGAATATTATTAAATTTAACATCATATGTGTCTGAAAGCTTTAGTTGCTTCTTATGCAGATAGATGTGTGAAATATAAGCAATAATGCACTTTCTCTCTTTGTAAAGACTTGAGTAGTAAGGACATTACCAACTAAATTGCTTCTTCTAAACTGAAGTGTGTCCCGGTTTCTTTCATTTTAATGGGAGGGTAATAAAGATGAAAGACTAACATTTTAACTGATGGATCCCTTAAGCTACAGAATCGAAATTTATTATGTTTTGAGGGAATATGCTAAATCCTGAAATGTGGAAAGAAGCAGGGAAATCCCAGGTAAAATAAAAGCAAAGTAACCTTTTTTTTTAAAAAAAAAAAAAAGAGAAAATGCCATACTTTTATGAATGGAAAATCACATACTCCTAAAAAAAAAAAAGAGAAAATGACATACTTTTATGAATGGAAAATTACATACTGCTCTTACTTAAGCTGAGAAAACAATTTTGTTCTCTCTTTGGGGCAAAAAAGTAAGGAGGGGAGATATTTGGGAGGAAAAAAAAAAAAGATTTGAAAATGGAGGGCCATCGCTCAGCAAGTGGTCTCTTCTTTCTAGGAGCACTTTTCAAACCCTGCCTGCAGCGTTCAGGGAAGTGAGTTTGAGGCTCTGCACACCATTGTACACACCACAAACGTACCATCCATAATACAGCGCGATTGTCAGTCGCTGTTTTACAGAGGGGCCAGGGCTGAACAATCATGGTGGATAAATTACTTTCCTATTCTACAGCAAGTGGCCTTCCTACCATGTGAAGCTTAAGGTCATTGGCAGGGCAGCGAGGGGGAAGCTTATATATTAGTTAACTCTAATGCACTAATAGTGTTCAGATAGAGGAACTATACCAATTAATTACAGTTAGGTTAGTTCTTCAAGATGGGGGTGATGACTTCGAGAGTTACTGTGCTGAGATACATACACGTATATATCTATTTTGCTTTCTTGTTACTCTCCTTCTTTCTGTGATATAGATAACTTGCTTTTTCTTTAGTATCTGCATTAAAGACTTCAATATTCATCATTGTGAGCATCCAGGCTTCAGAAATAAGAAAATATTTTAAAAAGATTTTTAAACTGTAACAACACATTCTGTTTACATTTTTTACAGTGTAGTCTGAAGGGGGAAGGGAAGAAAAACCTGTCAAAAATTAAGTAGAACATCCTTGAATGGCAATTAGCATGCCCAGAATTTATTTTATGTACAACGCAGTGGCAAGTAGCTGCTTCTTATTAAATGAAAATCCTGTATTATGTACTTCAGGAACATTCCAACTAATGAGTATGTAATGTCCTTAGTATAACACAGAACTTCTTTTTGTGTTCACAACCACAAGATGCTGGAAACTTGACAAATGATATCATTTAAGACAGATGCCTGCCTTAGGGACCTGGTTTTTGGCTTCCTGTTTCTGGTTTTTATTTCAATAACATTTGTAATTGCCACAGGATCTGTACCTGTGTAGTGTTTTAACCCTTTCACGCATACCCCATTGGAT